TATCTAAGAATATTCATGGCAATTCTGAGATTTGTAAAAACATATACAAATAAGTAGTGCTAATAAGTAACGTTATGCTAATTATACAGACTTTCGATTAAAATATTTTTCGGTGGTCTTACAAAAGTATGTTATTAAAATTCTTTGGACGTGTGTGCTAACTACATACTAAAACACATGTATAAATCGTATTTTTGCGATATTTAAAGCTACTCTAATCTAAAGTGTCATATACTTTTGTACATTCTTCTAAGTGTCCTCGTTGCTATGAAATATGAAAATTGGATGGAACCATCACTTACGTCTAACAATAAGTGTATGAATATTTGGCTCGCGAATTATCCCTCGACTTTCTACTGTCATTTTTTCAACTGTGGCAATCTCGGACACATGTGGTGGATACTTTTTTCAATCCGTTTGTCAAAACTCCCGTCTCAAAAATATGTGACGTAAACGGGACGTGCTTCTCAGATTATTACTTATTTCTATTAAATCGCAACGTTCCTCCTACCGACGAATCGATTGTCAGGATTAAACGCAATTTTTACAGGTTCCCCTTACATTCCTCATAGAAATTGTTTCGTCGTCCTCATTCAGTGTCTTTCGGTGAACTTCTGATGATGAAGAACACCTCGAGGATGAAGACCACGGCGTTCGCGAATGTGAACACCGCCCCCGATATGAGCATGTCCATGTATTGTTTGCTCGGGTAGAATTCGTTGTTGCTGTAACCATAAGGGCCGAGGGTCTTCCTCCAATTGTAGACAATTACGCTTCCAGCGACGACGTGCAGCAGCGCGCCAAGCGAGGAGAATAGTATCAGCTGCAATCAGAGCAGATCGAACTCGCTTTCAAATGCATCGTCGATGCACTTCTACTTATACCCTTTAATACATTTAGTCTCAAAGTTGAGCCGATACTCAATTATCTTCTAACTCGTTTTAAAATCTCTTAAAGGATTTAAAACAGTTCTTCAATTTTTAGTTTTGTACGTTTTAAGTGAAATCGTTAAGATTTGTTTTATCATTTAAGTAGGCCATAAGTTGTTCGGGTTTTTAGCAATTATACTGCGAGTTATCATGCCTGGGAGACGCGAACGTCAATAATTATCGCGTTTACCGAAGCGAATGGAAGTGCCTGTAAGTTCCAATCGTTCGACACACATAAACGTCGCGAACTAGGCAAGTTGATAAACGTACGGAAACTCGGCGGTTGATAAGTTATGAATGTTAATCAGAACCGGGACAGGACGCAGGTGTCTATATTTGGACTAGAAAATAGAACTGCAATGTCTAGCTAATAAATCAAGCTAAAATATTGTAAATTGTACATAATAAAATTTACAGTGTTTCTATTGGAAAGAAATCCTAGATTTTCAACAGATAGACGCGATGAAGTAATTAAAATGAAATTAGGTGGAATTATTTTTGCGTATCGTAAAGAGGATCGAAGAATCAATGCAGTCGTTTAGTGGTCATGGCTCACTAGCGCTTAACAACTAGGAAAACTAACCGAACCTTCATTACGCGGCCTTGAATGCTTAACGAGCTCGTTTTATTATAATAGAATTCCAACATAAATTATTAAAACAAATTAGGTAAAAATATCGTCGTTTAATTCTGGGATTGTATTCTAATTTTTGAGTGTCGCTTTAACGCAATAAATCACTTTATACGATTGCGTGTGGTCGAAGGACACGCTTCGCATGTGTTTATTATCGTTTTTATAGTACATGCACGTGATTCAAGGTTCAAACAAAATACCGGAAGCTACGGTGCACGGTGCTGGATCTATGTCGAAAATACTGAGTGTCTGACGCGATCGTTAGTCGTCCTTTTCCAATTGTCACGCGATCCCTTAATCGCCTGTGTCAGTCGCTCGATTTATTATTACCGCACGCGTCACGTAATCTCTTTCCTGGTTAGAGAAATCTGTTACACGAAGTATTCATTGCCCGAATCAAATGGTAACAAAACGCTTTTCGTATTTATCGGACTTTTCTGTGTTTCAATTTATTAAATTCTGAGACTTACCGTCCTCTTTGGAATCCTGTCGCCCAATATATGACAAATGATGAAGAGCGTGTTGATTATGAGGTAGCCAGCGATACTTATGTATATAATCGCAGCATCGTCCAACTTGAAACGCGACCTGATTGAAAGTTTGTAGAATGAATTCATCGGATCGACGATCAAACCAATTGCGAACACGGACAGGATCTGAAAACAAACATAAGTATGTATCAATAATAGATAGTGCGTGTAAAACAGATGTGAAATATGTGAATTACGTACCACTTCTAGGATTTTCAATAAAAGCGGCACGTGCCTGATGAATTTTCTCTCCTTGCGAGTTCGCTGAACCTGCTGAGTCTCGTCTGCCATTCTGACTCTGCGGTGTTTTCCTTTGCCGTCACCCAGTTTGGATGATTTTCAGTCCCACCACTTTGCGCCCACGCGATATCAACCCCCAGCGGCTCTAATCGTTTCTCATCAAGCGCGGTGAACCTACTAATTACGAGTAACGCGATAATCAACGAATATATGGGACATAAATTATGGGCGAGATTCTAGAGACTTGCACGTGCTCGTATTTTTTACATATTCATTTGATATTCAACTGGATTAGGATTCATAGTTGATTTATAGCTCCTTGCAAGTTTTTAAACAATTTTGTTTTCTTATTTGCGGTTTTTTTTAAGACATTGCGTAAATTGGAATTTGTGATCTACAATGCGTGTTGTTTTCTTAACATTCTTCGCGCTCTTGACTCATACGCGTTATTCAATCATTGAGAACGTAAAAGCATAAACCGAGTGCACAGCTTTGTTACCTACCTTTTTCAAAGTATCATAAATCACGTCGCTTGTATGTCTTTTAATTTTGAAAATGAACTGCACACACTTTTCAATACTTTCTCTACGCTTCAACACGAATACGTCTTTTCCAAGCTTCTTTTTAAAAATGTAACAAATCGCAGAATTCGTGTGGAACTGCCGATATTGACATTCGACTAGATATCAGAATTATGAATTGTTGCAACTGCAGCCGATCGATGGTCTCGCTTATGGTCGTAGGAAATCGTTGAAGGAAAACACGCGAGCAGCACACTGCGTGGCGGACCGACTTAAACTGGAACGTGAAGCGCGATACACCGCAAGGCGTGCTCGTACTCGCATAGTACTACTTTAACAACGTCGTATGTAACGCGCGAGTTGCGCAGGCGGTCCCGCCGACTCTGTTTAGACCGTGTGCGTCGCACTCGTTCGCTCCATGATTGTGTCACCGCCACGTAATTTCGCGAAAAATTATCGTCACGTACGCAACGCGTTAATCAAATTAACCCTCTTAAAACCGAGAAACTCTTCCTCGATTTTCCTTTCCATTCAGAACCAAGAAAGTTTCCCCGGGATTGCGTAACTAATACGAAGGTTTTCCTACGACCGGTTTCCTCGGCGGAAATGCTTATCGCTGTTTCCAATCGTCGGATAGTAAACGAGACTCAAACTTTCGACATTTTTCATCGTTTCTCTAATTTATGCAAAAAATATTGGCCGCGAAAGGCGATACGCCGCATGAAATCGAATAAAACGGAGTAGCGCGTGGGGATAATTTCGCAAGGTTTCACGACGGGGAACTCGACTCCAATTCGAGTGTGCAGAGCCGATTTGACACCGCTTAAGGGAACATTTTTTTTTCTTAATTCCATTGACCTGATCGGTGTTTAATCATGGCAAGGTTTTGCACACGTGCATCGTACACATCCGTGATACGCAAATTACACGCCGCGTGAGTCACGTGAAGTCGAACATGCTCCGGTGCATACTTTGCGACGTAACAACGGCGACGCACGTGCTCGTTGCTGAATTAAATGCCCTCGCCCTCCGTCACAGGCTCCGGTTACCCATTTTTCAATCGCGTTTCTGGGATTACGAGTTGCGTCGAATTTTTCGACGATGATCAAACGGCAAAGCGCGCGCGCGGAAAAAGAATCTTCTTTCTAAGCCGTTAACGTCAGGAATTCGTATCTAGACTTTACTTACCGAGTTTGCAATAGGAATTAGCAACGCGATGAAACCCGAGCGAAATGCGTACAGACTCTAATTATTTATACAAAGTTCGAGGGAGATATTGTACGATAACTAGTTACGGAAAGTTGAATCAGTTCTGACCATGACACAGTTAGAGAAAATATCGATACAAGTAATAATGAATCAGTAATGTAACATACGTAATTTCATGGAACAAGTCCACCGAAGTATCTTCTTATGTCCCACAATATCGACTATGAATTTCTGATAACATAATTCTACATACGTCCGATGCTATTACATGCTATTACGAACAAACGTAGGAAATGTACTACAAATTATAATCTCAGGATTAAAATGTTCTAATCTAATTTTATATGAATTTAATTGCTCGGAAAGTAATTGGGACAGGTACATTGAAGTCGTATCAGGAATCTAACTAGCACGGCTTATATCGACGTCAGATTATTTTCTACTTGTGTAATAGACAGTCTTAACGCGTAGCTACTCTTATTACAGTAAGGCTGTACACATTGTGTGTCGTAGGTACCACTCGTACAGGTACAAACAACGCACACTTACATTTGCAAACGTGGCTACGGAAGATCACGTGTTCACTAGGTCAGTAGGTGCGGCCTGGTCTTCGCTGATGATTATGCGATCTTCCTATCGATCTTGAACCTCGTACACTTGGCGACTTTAAAAAAAACTCGCACGATTTTATTATTAACAATTCTGTTTTGTAATTTCATTACAGAGCTTCGTTAAGCTTCTTCGGTATTATTTAATTAAATAATTTTGTTACAAATTTTTATAAAACGATTTCTTCAACAGTTTCTTTGATGTGTAATTCTCTCTATTTGTTTGCTCAATTTAACGTCTCTTGGGTTATGCTCGGAGGAGCTGAATTACGAGGGGCATTCGTAATTAACACGATTATGTATCCGGATCGTGGGTGTGCGATCGTACCGGTCATTCACGATGATTACGAGGTCAAGTAGACTAATTGATGCATATCATGAACCGGCGTGTTGCAACCCTCCACAATTTTTTCCTGGCCACACTATTCTTAACCGAGTCCTCTTTTATGACTCACCGTCCCGCCTTCCATTCATCGTTTCTTAAATTCTTGACTCATCCCTCAATGTCAATTTCCAATGTCGTCTCAGAAATTTTAATAATAATCGTGTTAATAGATTGCTGCATTGACGAAAAACTTGCGGTCAGAGGAAGATCGGTCGGAATTTTTTAATTGTTGTCAGTAACATTCATAGTCTGGCAAGTTAATCATTGGAATTCGTCGACTGGGTTCGCAGATATATTACGCGTTGGATGAGGATGACGCATATCGAAGCGAAGTGGAGCAGGAGGACGACAGCTAGGATGAATTCTGGTGTGCTGAAACGAATTCAGCTTAGTACATATTTCTGAATTCTGTTCGAGAATTCAGCGACCTACTCGTAATCACCGTCGTTCGTCTCGGTAGTGATATTAGCCACCCAGTCGCACCATTTGTACAATTCGTAAATGCTGCAAGTCAGAGTTCCAATCCCGCCAATTACGAGGAAACACATTTCCTTGACAAGCAGAAATTTTTACGTTAATTTGACTCTGTCCCCTTTTGTACTAAAATTATTTCAAAATTACACTGAACGCTTTTATAAAATATAATAAACGAATACATATTATAATAATAAAAGGATTTTCAATCTGAACTGTTTTTTAAACGACTATTCTGGCTGCTTGATCTTACAGAAAAATCTGCTATATTTCGGGTTTAATATTTGGAAGTTGTGAAGGCAAGGATTAAATCGTTTACGGATCATCCGCTTTGCACTTACTCACGAGAAATATAAAATCCTGTTTCATTACTAGGAGGAATATATCGCAGCTATGCACGATGATGTATCCGCTGAGAAAAGTGGGCACCAGGACTCCAAAGGCCGGCGCCTCGAGATAGGGTTCCAACGGTGTAATGTAAATGCCTGTTCCTATTATGCAACAAGACTGTAAAACAATTTCAGGAACATAAATACAGACTTGAACCAGGAACTATATTAGCGTTTGCGTACGTACCATGGCCACTGTTCTCCAGACGAACAACGTTTTGTCCACCGTCCACGAGTTCATTCTCAAAGCCTCGAGGGGTATCGGTATCACTACGTTACCCATTTTTCTTTAAAAATATCGCTCTGCAATATTTACAAAATTTCTGCAGCCAGGATATCCGCGAGACTGTTTTGTTTCGAAATGTCACCGGAAGAATCTGCTATTATATTTTCTTTTTTCATTTTCCGTTTTACCGGCCGAGTCCAGAAGGCTCCTGGACTTGTCGTTCGTTTAGTCTATTTGTTCGATGCATTCGGAACATGTTCCCATAGGGCAGTGGTGGGCAAACTTTTTTAATGGGGGGCCACAAAGTTTAAGAAATTCTAGAGGAGGGCCAGAATTATAGAAAAAATGCACTTTATACTTCTCGACCGTGAAAACGTAATTATAGCGGGCCATATACTATCCATGTCGATGGACCCTCGGCGGGCCGGATTAAATAATTTCGCGGGCCGGAGTTGGTCCGTGAGCCGTACTTTACCCACCACTGCCATAGGGTGTCTACGTTTCGTAGGCTTAGACACCGAATTTGAACACTTCCACACCACCCTCGTTCATCTTGTCTGAAAGCGAGGCAACACTCAAGCAGCCGCACCGAAGAATATTATATTCTTATAATAGTTAATGATCTGAACGATATAAGAATTTCTGAACGAATGGAGTTAGGAGGAAATTGCATAGGACCTTTCTTGTATCTGACAATTACAGTTACATGCCAATAACAATCGAGTCTGTTTAACCTACGGTCTTGTAGTATATAAGATTTGCTATTAATCTTTTTATACAATAAAATCAAGCCCCTTTAGTTAACATCAAGGCATTCATTTAATCATCATATTGTTTACAATACATTTATTTATTAGGAATTATTTTAAAAAGATATAGTACTATGCGGAATGGGAGGTTTCATTCCATAATAATCTACCAAGGCCATGTAGCCTGCCTCGACAGATAGGACAAGCAGGTTCGCTGGAAATGAAAACATCCTTCAGATTCGTAAAATATTCATTACAAGATATACAATGATTATGCACCTAGTATCAATAAGCCAATCTTAAGTTCGCTTCGCGGTTCTTCCTTCTCCTCCTCTCCTCCTTCTAATACTTCCGCAGTCTCTTCGTACTGAGACCTGACTATACCCGCTATTGCGCCTATCAAATGAAAAACCACTCCAACTGTAAAATATGCGAACTCCTATAAATGGAGTAAAAATGAGAAGAAATCCGATTTATATTCGCTAAACATTTCTAAGAACTAATTTGTCGATCTCCGTTTCAATTGGTTCGTTGAGGAAGTGGAAAAACTAACTGGCAGACGGCGTGGTTTTTCAAACACGTGCGTCAGCGCGATGGAGAAGAAGATGATGAAATAGGTAGACGCGTCGATGCAGTAAATGATCCACAGCCATCTGGGAATCGCGTACTCCGTGTACTTCACCAGTTCGCGCATGCAAATAGCTGCCATGATCTGCGCAACATCGGGAAATTATGGGTTGGATACTACATTCTCATCGTTCGAAACGCGCGACGTTTTTACCATCTCGTATACTTTCAACAGAAATGGAAAATCTTTTAGAAGTCGACGCGTGTGACGACGGATGAACTTAATGTTCTGATTGACAATCAGGTAAACCTGATCCATGTTGAACTTCGAGAATTCTCGCTGAACTGTCTTCGGACGTGTTTTAGATATAGTTAATACATTGGATAAGCAACTTTATTCATGTTGTAAAATTGTGACACACATTTTGTAAATTTGTCGATATTCAAATAAACGGTATTTTATTCATCATGTATATTGTATATCATTATATACATATATAAAAAAATTAAATATATCTTATATTATCGAAATCAAATGTTTACGTATCGTGCTCGTGAAAATTTGAATTGCTCTATTAGAACGATAATTGAGAGATTGTATGGAGAATCGATTGAGAAAATCGAATATCAGATTTTCATCGCGATTCCCTTGAACGGGTGATGAGACAATGATCCTAAACGCTATACGATGTTTATTCCAATGTTTTCGCAAAATGCAGAAAACTTAGGACCAAATCGACGAGGTATGCTGCGCCCTCGATGACGCATAGCGATCCAACGGCCAGACCAACCTGAAACAATTTAATTATTAATGAATAATAAATAAATTATATAAAGTAGTGTTTTATCAGTGAACATATTTTACCTGTCGTTCTGATACAATCGTGTCCATTTTACTCTCGGGTTGATAGCCGTGCCAATAATGAAGCGCCGTGCCGCCCACAGCAATGAACATGAACATTCCAACGAAATTCATGATAATTTCCTAAGTAGATAAAATGAATTGATGTGAAACAATTTTTGTATATCACGTTTTAAGTTGTCTGAGAATTGTGATGTGATCTTACAACGAGCGTTCTTTTATGGTACGTGCTGCCGAAGCAGTAAGTGATGAGTACCACGCTAGTGTAAATGAAAAAGCCGACCAACACTCCAGAGGCAACGATTTCCGCGTCCGGATTTTTCTCCTCGTTCAAATTCCATGTCCCTCCCACACCAAGGAACTCACCCTTGTATCCTGTTCGATACAGGATCAGGATTATAAGATTGATCACCTGTGATTAAAGCATCCCAATGTGAATTAATACAATCATTTCTAGTTGAATGATCGCCATGATATCATTCTGTAATTTTGATTAACAGTCGATTTTACGTTCCTGTATTTTCTATTTTTCTCAATATATTTGATTTTAGTGAAAAGTGTATGCGTATCGCTATCGCTAATACCGTACGTTAAAAAGGGCGTCGTATCACACTGCAAACAGTTTTCCTTATCGTGCAACGATAACGACCGGTATGAATCACGTACAAATGTTTCTTGAATGAGTTCAACTAAGATGATTTACTAATTTCGAATCATTACGCCTATTAATAAATCTCCAATATCAAGTTTGATTTGCGATTAGACCTCTCAGAAATTTCAATGTATCTTGCAAAATTTCAATGGCAATTCCTTTGCAATCAGGGTGAAAACACTTTTAAAAGGAACACTTATAATAAAAATAGTAGGCCAGCAAATTTTGATCACAGGATTTTAAAACGATTTCTAATTGATTCACACTAAATAGTTTTTACAAGCACTCTCTAAGCACATTTTTCGACTTCACGAATTAGTTGAAAAACGAATCTGCTCACCAATTTAATAATCTTTAGCACTATACTCGCAACAGTTTCCATCGACACCATGTTTGCGATTTTCTACGTGAATCTCTCACGCTGATGATTAAAAATTGTCGCGCACTTTGCAGGTGGAACTAAACGAAATAAAAGCCGCGGTGCGATGCTCTCCACCGCCGCCAAGCCCTCTTTATCTAATCTGGATGTTACAACGTGCGAGGGAGAAAGCGATAATACGTACATACCTCGATATCGTGGAAATACGTATAACATTATTGTTCCCTTCCCTATTTTCAAATTCCATTTTCGCATATTCTAACATACATTTATCTGCCAACGCTTTACAAACAAAAATATATCGAAATATTAATACAGTGTTTTTGTTTTATATTGAAAGCGTTTATTGTCATGTTTCCAGTGCTTAATACTTTAAGAATTCTAATTAATGATTCTTCATTTTTTTTAATTACTAATGTTATTGTTTTAGGAACTGGGCTTAGATATCACTCAGGAGCAGGTCTCTGAAATGGAAGCCCACGTGTACGACATCGACTTCGAAGCAGCCGCGAAGGAAGAAAAAGCGACCAGGCACGACGTCATGGCACACGTCCACGTTTTTGGGAACCAGTGTCCAAAAGCTGCTCCCATCATCCATTTGGGTGCCACCAGTTGCTACGTTGGTGACAATACGGTACCTCAATTATTTTTCTCATCATTACACAAAATGTTTCTTATTTGAATAATATGTTCATTTATTCTTGAAGGATTTGATTATCCTTCGTCAAGGATTTGACATTATCCTGCCGAAACTGGCGAATGTTCTGAACCGGCTGGCGAAATTTGCTATGGAATATCGAGATTTACCAACACTGGGTTTCACTCATCTACAACCGGCTCAGCTCACCACCGTTGGCAAACGAGCGACGTTGTGGCTTCACGATCTTCTGATGGACGAGAGAGCTCTCCGACGTGCCAGAGACGATTTGAAGTTCCGCGGTGTGAAGGGCACCACCGGTACTCAGGCTTCGTTCCTTCAGCTATTCAACGGTGAGTTAAAAATCATGAAATCGAGGATTTATAAATTCTTATATTTCTTATATAAATTCCATGAATTTCAGGCGATGGTGAAAAAGTGAAGCAATTGGATCGATTAGTGACTCAAATGGCTGGATTTCAGAAACACTATTCCGTGACGGGGCAAACGTACAGCAGAAAAGTCGATGTTGAATGCTTGAACGTCTTAAGCTCTCTAGGTTCCACCGTTCACAAGGTAATAATTCACGACGCACTTTATTTAGAAAATAAACATGTTATATTTCCTTGTATTTTAATCGATTAAAATATTAGATTTGCAGCGATATTAGACTGCTGGCGAACATGAAAGAAGTGGAGGAACCGTTCGAGAGCACGCAGATCGGGTCAAGCGCGATGCCTTACAAAAGGAATCCAATGCGTTCTGAAAGATGTTGCAGTATAGCGCGTCATTTGATGAGTCTGACTAACAACGCTCTGCAAACGGCAGCGACTCAGTGGATGGAGAGAACGCTGGACGATTCCGCTAACAGAAGAATCACCTTGTCTGAGGCATTCTTATCGGCTGACGTGATCCTGATGACTCTTCAGAACATTACTGAGGGTTTGGTTGTCTATCCGAAAGTGATCGAGAGGCATATCGCACAAGAATTACCTTTCATGACTGCGGAGAATATAATAATGGCTATGGTGAAAGCTGGAGGCGACAGACAGGTAATTTGAGTTTGTATTCTGTGATTAATAATTAATTCACTAAATGTGGCAAATGAAATTCGGAATTGTAGATTTGTCATGAGAAAATAAGAGTGCTGTCTCAAGAAGCTGGGGCGCAAGTGAAGCAACACGGGAAGGATAATGATTTAGTCGAAAGAATCAAAAGCGATCCGTACTTCGCTCCGATTCTCAATCAATTGAAAGAACTATTGGATCCTAAGACGTTCGTAGGCAGAGCGCCGGAACAGGTCGTGGAATTTTTGGAAGAGGAAGTGTACCCAGTGCTCGAAAATTATAAAGGACAATTAGGTGGAACTGTGGAACTCAGCATTTAATGCAACGAACTGGGTATTTTATTTTGTAAAAGGTGAGATTTTTTAGAAAGCCTGTTAATTTCTGTTCTTTATGTTACATTTATATTCGATGTATTTTTATAAAAAAATAAAGCAGTACAAGATTATTGAATGCTATTATATTATAGACTTTATAAAAAATAAAAAAATGAATCGCGCTTCTTTCAAATCGAATAATTGATTTCTTTTCATGATTCGATTCTTCTCTGTGATAGCAAAAGAAGAATTTTGTAGTATTTACATTTTGTATAAAAACAAAAAAACTGAGAGAAAGGAAGATTTAGTAAAAAATAATTTTCGAAACTGATTTCAGTTTTGGTAAGAACAGATGAGAATAAGAGACAGATAGGCAAAGTTGAAAACGTAAGTGAAGAAAATAGGTAGAGTATATAAAAAAGAAAGACAGAAACATAAAAGCCGATCGTTTATTTGAAAACAGACTGCCAAGATATAGTGAGCAATGGTTGCTTGATCAATTTTTCAAATATTAAAAGAAGTGTCCGTTCTCTGGATTTTCTCCGAGAAATAATAAGCATAATCGATCAAGCAACCATTAAACTTTACAGAAAGAACTATTTGAAGCTCAAAATTATTACCAAGAGTATCATTTAACCCTTCGCTGTTCTTGTTTAATTTTATCATTCGAAACATTTTATTCCCTTCGCGAAAAACATTTTCTCTCATTGAATCAATAATTTTTTTCTAAATCATGATTACGAGGTCTGCTTTAAATGGAACAGCGAAGGTTCAAGTGAAAAAGGTGAAGAAGAATCGATAGCAGAGTAGAACGTGGATTTCGCGTGGGCTATAGCACTTGAGAATCACAGCATGAGGAGAGTGACGCATAGGCATTGTTCTTTCGTTTTTGCGAGATAGGTCCAGGTAACGAATAGGTGGGAGGACTAGACTAGAAGTGAGAGAAGACCAGAGAAAACGCGTAGCTTCCTGGTTGAAAGTAACGCTTCGTTTCTGAGAAACTAACGTCTCTCTTATGGTCATACTTCTATAGACAGATTTTTCCTCGAGTGTGTGAAAAAGTATTGTAGAGAGGCAATTCACATAAAACAAAGTACAAGGTAGGAAAAAACATAGGAGAGAAGTAGTTTCATAAAAAAAGTGTATAAAAGAAATATAGATAGAAAAGTAACGACATAGGAAGATGAAAGAAATATGAAACAGGGAAAAGATCAGATTTAGAAAAAGAAGAGAGAGGAAAAATAGATAGAAGAGAAACAGAAAGAGAGAGAAGTACCTTATAGAGTAGAATGAACAGCATTAAAGCAGTCAATTTTGATTTTGCATCAGCGAGACTGGGGAAGCGATTACATTTCAGCGACGAGAAAATTCCAAGATATAAAGAATTCGAAGTGAAGAAAAGACGGTAATGTAGATAGAATAGAGAAATTGTAGAAAGTATTTACAAGACTGGAAAATATCAAGAAATAAGGACGAAAAGAATATTTATAGATACAGTTTAGAATAGGCAGAACGAAAATGAAAAATAAAAAGGAACAGATTCATAGAGATTCAGAATTGTTGAGATCGAAATAAAGTTGTGAAATATTGAAACAAATAGAGATAGAAGAAAACAAGGGAAAAATGAAAGATAGATTAAGTAATGAGAAGAAAAGAGAGCTGAGAGAGATATTTACATAAAGTAAACAATTTTTAAGTACAGGAAAGAAGAATTAGAAAACAGTAGAAAATCGGAGAAAATAGAAAGAATATAGAAGACACTTCGAAAAATAGAATGTACAGGAAAGATAAGATTGAGACATGAAAATAAAAATAAAATTGAAACAACACAAACTTAATAGACCATAACAGAAAATAGAGGGAAAAACATAATTAGGGAAACAATTTTTGCGGCGGAAATAGATACGGAAGATAGAAAAAAATAAACAGAAACAGAGCATGAGGAAACAGTAAAAGATATGAAAATTGGAGAAAGTTTGCCATTGAATGAGTGGCACCGGTAAAGACAGTAGACTAGTTGCAGCAAGTATACCATAATTATGGCATCGTAGGGGAAAGTAAAATGAGAAGAGTGAAGCAGAGTACATAAATTGAAAAGGAAAATGAAAAAGAATAGTCAACAGTATATTACTGCAAGTTGAACCAATTTTAAAGATGTAATACTGATAGGTACGGAAGAAAAGTGCAGGCAAGAAAGAAATAGTTGACAAGAAGAAAAAGATGTGAAATTTTGATAGAATAGAATATTGGAAAATAGTACCAAATACCATAGAAAAATGGAATAGAAATACAGTTAGAACATGGTGTATAGTAGAGGAAAAGATAATTTTTACACAGTAAAAGAGAAGAAAAACGTAGTATGAAATGTAATAGAAAATTTGTATGCGTAGATAGAATAGAGACAGAATTCAAAGGGTAAAAAAGACAACAGAGTAAGAAATGAAAATATAAAGGGAGAAAAATAAACATAAAATCAGTAAATAGGAAAGTGAGAAACAATAAAAAGAAAAAAATATGAAATAAATGTACAATGCACCAATCTAATGATAAAGATATTCATGTCGCCATTTTAATAATACGCGCATTATTAAAATCACGAGAGGATAAGAAAAGAAAACGTGGGGAGGGAGAGAGAGAGAGAGAAAAAGAGAGAGAGCTATCACAGAGCGTTAGGTTCCTTGAAAAAATTAAAACCGCTCTGATCGAATCCCTGAATACGAGCAAATAATTAAAAATTCAGAAAAATTCAAATTTTTGGTCCACATTTATCAAAGACTACTAGTCTCAATTTTGTACTTCATGGTATCAGATCCTCAAACAATTGTTTACTAAAACAGTGATCAGCCGTAAGGTCCTTCCATAAGAAAAAAAAAGAAATGAACAATTTCCTGCTGATCACCGATCAATTTCGCATTATTCTAATTCAGCTGACAGCAAAGTTTCGATCTAGAATATCAAAGGTCGAATCTTCCAAACAGTTCAAATCTTCTTAGAATATCTTATAAATCCTCGTCTTGGTCAGATTATTTCTTGGCGATTCTATAGCCGGAGAACGTGACGCTGTCCGCTATCTTCCCAGACTCCACGAAGACAGCGAGCTGGTCGCCGGCTTCGACGTCCAACAGAATCAAATTGGCGCCTCCACCAGGCCCAGCACTGACTACCGATCTCCAGCTATCGGACTTGTTCAATTTCTTTTTCAGAGTCAGTCGTAGATCGGTGCTCCCGTATCCGGCGAAGCTGAATTGATAGAGACCTGGACAGTGAGTGGTGAAAATTCCTGTTTGGGCGACGTAACCCACGCCTTTGTCGACCAGCGTCTCCGCGAGAATCACTCTGGCATGCTAATGAATCCAAAAACCAAATAATCCTTTCATATCTTCATATTCTTAAATCATCTCTTCGTTAAAAGCATCGTCTTTTCTATAGAATTATTCATGAATAGAAATTCCATATTGAAACTCACATCGACAGAAGCCTGAGTTGCTGAGAAAGCAACGATACCGGCACAGTCAGCGGCCGTTGCCAATTTTAACGAGCCGACAGTGGTGATACCGGGAGATGGTGGATCTGGTACCACAGCCTCCGCCAACACTGATGTTATCAACAATACCAACCACACCACCCTGCAACAAACGATTTAGAAAATTCTAACAAATGTTCACGGTAAGACCTCAGTTTAATTACATTTTATGTTCTCCAAGAAACAAAATGCAAATGCTTTACACATTCAGTGCAACCGTGGTTAATCACTTGCGTGCGGTTATCGTTGTACTACGTCGCAAATGCAACTCTATGCGTTAAGCAAGTTATAAATAAATGTTATGTAAGTATTAAGTAGACTAACGGGTAAGAGAGCAATTTAATTTATAAGAAATATAGAAAAATTTCAATATCGATTATGGGAAATGCGATAATGGCAGCAAAAAATGGCAGCTCGTTGTTACGTAAGCGCAAGTGGGCGTTCGTTCTTATAGTTTTATCTCGCTCATTCCCCCCTTTTTATTCGTATTTTTTTTTCCCCGCTTCGTTATGCATTGCGTTAAGTCACCGAGGTCTGACCATTCCCGGTAAAGTTCAAGCCCGGTCCGCACCGACTTTCACTGCTCGGGGCTATCGGGGCTCCGGTGTCCGCCTCGCATTTCTTTTTACCCGCTGGATCTCGCCTTATCTGGCTGCTTTCGTTTTCGTAACCCAATTTTCGGTTATCGCTTCGGTGAAATCGTAACTTTCTGCCTTGTGCCAGATATTAATCCAAGTGAAATCTTGGGAATAAACACGCTTAGATTTTAATGACATTAATTATGAATCATTAAGCAATATTTGTTTGCCGAAGGAAAAAGTCTCTGTTCACTGCAATTCTTCCTAATTATTCAAATATTAGAAGCACAATATAATTTCGATTGATCGATGTTTTCTTAATCGATGGATAAGGATGTTTCTAATAATAATGTCTCGATGCTGTGATAGTTTATCAAACCGAGTGGAAAATTTCTAACAGCCTCTGGTCTCGCTCTATTAATCGCATACCTGGCGTGACCGAAGCAAAGAGAAGCTATTCTATTCTGTCAAGCGCGATCGACCACGCCGATCAAACTTTCTACAATATTTTGTGCTTGGAGAAAGTCGCGTTTTGCGCCAATTGGATCGTCCAGTTACTACAAATTAAAACAAAAATTCTCGAAACCTACTAATTCGTATTTTCTTAGACCAGAAAGAAAACGATTCAATGATAATTGAACTGTGCCACTTGTTTTCTCAATTAGCTGCAAGGCGTTAATAAAACTAGATCGCGCACGGTTCAGTGCGAGGACGGCGAGCGCGATGCACTTTTAACCCCTGAATCGCATTAACTTGTGCAAGATAAGATCAGGAGTCCTTTCACTTTCGCCGGGTTTCAAGGCGAGGATCTCACGTGTGACACGTTTCTATATCGCCCACATTTAAATGACAATAACGATATTTCTTAGATTTTAATTATGCTAAATTCCGTTATCTGTCATTTAATCTACAATGATTTCTCGAGTAATTCACAAAATAAAATTATTAGAATAATCGTGTAAAAGTATTTAGCATTTGCTTCAGTCATTTTGAGAAATTTTCTGTAACAGCCTTTGAACTTTTTAAAAATATTTTGTACGTCTTCAAAATGCAATTCTCACAGGATTTAAGATCTTGATCGAATTTGCATAGAGCCGCGCTGGAACATTGAAGAGCTCTTGCGCAACGCATCTGCATACAGTATAACACGGGGGGCAATGTGATCCATTTATCGTGGAATACAAATGAATGAGATTAAGTACTTATGTCTGCGCGTTGAACGATCTCCTTGACGCACTTATAAGATCCCTCATTTATATCCATTAATAACGTAACAATATTCGTCTTTGCAGATGGAAAATTTACGACGCGATCAGTTAATACGATGCAAATTATCCTTATCTTTCAAGTAAACAATACATATTCATGAATCGTATTATAGTCACATTATTGCGTTGCTACTTTGTATGGTGCTTTTACGATAATTCTTATCAGAACACCACATTTTTAGAAATGTTTTGTACACAGTAAGATATCAAATTAAGAATACATAGATGCTGCGACAAGTCGATTAAGATACATGAGAATATGTGACAAATTAACACTGAATTAATAATAACGATTGACACTGTCACTCACGTTTCCAAATGTGGTTCTCTGATATTGTAAGAATAAAATGGATGAAGGGACTCACATGATGGTAGAAAGTGGTGTGGCAGTGGCGGATGTTCTTGCAAGGTGTTCCGGGACCACGCAGCTCCTCGGTGTTCCAGGTAAGTTGAACCAGGTGAAGTCGTCGGTACGCCTTTATATTACCTTGAAGCCTGCCTGGTTTGGTCTTGACGCCACTTCCAATACTCCTTACTACTACCTTGCCTCCCTCGTCTCGTTTCCTTTCCTTTCCTCGTGTCAAGTGCTCCGTCCGTGGTCTCACCGTCCCCACTCTCTCCCTTTCCGCTAACGTTGGTGAGGGATAACCGAGCATATAGATAGTGACAGTTGGATTATTGGAAGCCTGAAGTGGGTAAACTGGAGGTGAAGATCGAGTCATGAAATTTATTGGTCCGATTCTGATTGAATCTGTCGCCTAATTAATAAATCTGAAGATTTTCATACATAATTTCCATATTGTACACCTCTGACGATCTTGTAAAAGCTATTTTAATATTAATTACTTCCTCAATACCAATTTGCAATTCAAATTCCATTTTCATTACATGAACATCGATTACTTAATATCAGAATTCTATTCCCGTTTATGCAATTTATTTGAACGAGCTTTAAAAGTATTTGCCACGACGAAATTAATTGAAGTATATGCAGAACTAATACGTGACTAATCTCTGATCACGAAGTTCCAGTTCTGGGATATGCATATCGATTGATACGTGCCATGAAAAATAACTTTCACTTCGGCTTTCGGTTTGCCTGCGTTTATCTCGTTTACATTGAGTACACATTTGCGCGTTCATTGGTTCTACGCGTTTCTGAAAGTACTTAATATCAAACGAGTCGAACTCGAGATCAAATGCAAACTACATTCTATGTCAAAGTGATTTAACGGTTTCATTTCGAAAAGAGTTAGAATCAACAAGAGTAAATTTTAAATAACAGCTGAAGCATGTTAGTAAATTACATTGTACCATAAAATAATTAGTGTTATGGTAAAACGCATTTCGAAAGAATATAATGATTAATTCCATCTGGTCTGACAACTGCTCTTTCTCCGGGGAGAATGTAACAAGTTTTACGCAATCTATGGAATTACAGCTAGAAAGAACCCGAAACGACACGTGGACGCATGAAACCATAATTGCGGTAATCGTGCAATAACTGTACCGTAGGCGCAGTCAATGGTAACCCCTTATTAGAAGAATTCTATAAATCACAAGAAGAATCCATTTTCCTTCCTGTTTCCTCTGTGAAAATTACTTCCTCTCATGTTCAATAACAGTACTTTTGAATTTAGCTTAAGTAAATTATATGCATAATTATTTTTCGTATTTCGTATGAAAATAAGGTGATCTCGTTTCTGTGTCGTCTCCCACTCGCGTATCCGACGAAAATGTATCAATGGGTCACTGGAGATAGAGTGTGCTTCCAGTGACCTCCTTACTCGCTTCTCCTCCGTGCAAACTCTCCATTTCTTTTCGTCGGAAATGGGACAGCTTAAACGTAAACATAAAAATCGATTTAACCGCAGTTAATTATGCTAACAGAGAAGAAATTGCTGTGAGCTAGTTTAATTTTCGTTATTCAACTTTGCTTCGATCGTTTCTTCATTGAATTCTCAAGAATTAATAGTACTTTCTTGATCGGTTACCTAATAGTCAGTCATCGCAGAAATTTAGTCATGTTATTCGCCACTTTCGACTTCGCGGTGATGCAATGAACGGCAGAAACCCATGCACATCGAATTGTTACAGCATTCCGTTTATTTTTTCGTCGATTAACCGAGATAGATGGTTGATTTCCCTCATAAAACTGAAAACGCTCGGTGAAAATCGCGGTGCGACTAGGTGCGATCACGGGTTATCAAATCCACTGATTGCGGTTAACGCGGAGAAACCGGGGTTCTTAGTTATTTAGCATGCTGCTTTCTATGCTAACAAGAGCCTATCGGTACTAGTAATTAGGCACACAAACGACGAAATTCCTGTTAAGCTTCCTTTTGTTCAGTTTTCAATAATTCTTGATTATGTGGAATCATGTTTCTGTCATCTTTTCATGTCAATTACATTATATGTAAATAATTATTCATGTCTCTGGACAATACCCTAGTACATAAATTACTTCTAACTTTTCATCTATCGAGGTTGGATAGTTGCTATAATTACATATTGTGTTTTATCAGATACAACTGGTTTTCATAGTGATTTTGATAATTAAATTTTATCTTATCGGTTTTATCTAAGGAGTATCATTTATGGGGTCAACGCGTCTTTACTATTTAAATGGAAAGTAACCACGTCGCTAGATACAACAAACGAAAGTTCAGCCTCGGGCCATATAAACAAATTAAACCTGTTTTCTAATTTAACAACACGATCATAACACGAGCTAATGGACAAAAATAAATTATAATGCATTGATTTTTGTACAATTATATTTATTATAAGTTCGTATTATTACATTTAGATAACCATAAAATGGCACGATTATCGAAGCTTCGATCTAAGTGTGCAAAGAGGAGAGTAATAAAAAAAAAAGATTCTCGTCGACGCAACAAAAATGTCGTTGATTTCCGCGAAGGATTTACGGTACTCTTAAATCCTAGGGTAGTAAACAGGCGGTGAAATAAATAATAATTGCATCGAGAGGAAGCGGGGGGTGGGTGAGGGAAGTAGAGAATAGGAACGAGAATGAACACAGAATATCAAGGCAAGCTTAAGTAGCGCGTAAGAACGTTAAAAGTAAATTTCTCGCCGATTGCCAGGAAGCGAGAAATCCGGAAAAGAAAGTAAACGAATCGAAGGGTTCAATTGTCATGCGAAAATCGTACCTCCCTTTTCTAAATAATTATACATACATACAAGATTTAAATTGCCAATTTTAAAAGGGAATATAAATTGATAATAATTTATAGAGGCAATAGTAATAATTATAGATTAAGTACTAGACATATTTTTACCGTTTTTTGGAATTTCTTCTTCGCGGATTCGATTTTCCTCTCTTTCTCCAAAGGGCATTATTTACAAATTTTGATAAGTAGGGACATTTACAAATTTTGATAAGTACTCATATTTACAGATAATAAATCGCGCTCGACTTGTCTCGGTCGCGGGCGATTTGGATCGGCGAGCACAGCTTGACTTTCACTCGGTGGACAGTCGGTCGGGCCTCGGCGCACTTTCGCATCGCGGCACTACCTCGATCGCCTTGGATCTTTCTTCTTCTTTGTCTCCTTTCCGTGAAAGCATTTGCGACCACGTGCGCACGCGGTAGGAAATTCAGAATTAACCGTTATCGAGTTATAATTGAACGCTGCCTCACGCTATTGTCATCCGGATACGATCTTGCGATTATGAATAATTGCAAAGTAAAATCAAATGATGCATGCAGTTGAATTTTAAAAAATTAGCAAAAATAATAATTGCTTTTTTATCATTCCTATTTTGGCAAAGAAATACGATAAGATTTTAGCACACATAATAGCGTGTTAATTTAACATGTGTTTTGGATATCGTTAACTGAAGAGCCAGATAAGATTTCGACTCCTCGAGTGCCTGTTCTAACGATACTTGTATGTTTGCTCGAAAGATCGTGCTGTGCTACTGTACGCCGTCCTAAACTAACAAATTATCGTCTTGACAAGCGGGCCCCATGCTGGGCCAGTTGCACGCGCTCACCCCATTGTCGAAAGTCAAATGCACCGGGCAGTTGAACACGTGGAGAGTGAACTTCTTCTTCCACTCGTCCCAATGACAAGCGTAGAACTTGTTACAGAAGTTAGGATGTCTGAACAAACCTGGCCTGGCGCAGTTAGTCACTCCGTCGATTACCTCTTCTGACTCGCCGAACGCTGGCTGTTCCACAGAAGAATTTTTGTTTGCAACAGCGTTGAACGAGTTGGTGTTACTGACGCTGTTCAGGCTCTTCCCGGCTCTGAAATTGGCAGCGAATCCGCGGTTGGAAAATCCTGAAACGCTGGCGCGGGCTCCCAGACCTGCGGACGGAGTCACGCTTGGCAGATAAGTGGAAGAAGGTTTCTCTTGAATTTCAGAACTGGGAATCTTGGGTATCTGATTGTTCCAGATTTTAACAGGTCCTTGATACTCGCGGCTAGAATAATCGCCTTCCTCGTAGGAATTCTCTTTCTCAAGATCTACGTAGATGTCCGACTCGTCGTAATTAGCCAAATCCACTTTGCCCTTTGAGGAATTGATCAATTTCGAGCCTGGTCCTCTGAGGTTTGCGAACGGATCTCCTCGACAGGTACATTCGGCTCCGAGTTTCCCCAGCAAGATGGGATGCAAATCGCTCCACTTGACAATTACTTTACCCTTACCCACCGCTGTTGACTTTGCGGTGGTTTGATACGTGATCACCGGCGATGGCTTCGAGTAAACTCCTGAGTACGTCGTTACAGCCAGCGGTGATTGGGTCGAGCCGTAACCCTGTCGCGTCTTCGAGTAATCGAAACCGGAAATTGTTGAACTATAACCCTGCTGCGTTCTGGAGTAATCGCCGCCGGAAATCGATCCTTGGTAGACGTCGTACTCGCTTGGAATGTATTTTGTCGTGCCTCGGTTGTAGCCTCCAATGAATTTTCCGTCCTCGCCGCGCGAACTTGTGGTGAAGCCGCTTATGGTACCTGAGTCTACAGCGTAACCGGATGGCCCGGTGGTATACGTTTTCTACAAAATTAAAATAATTTTTTAACTTGGATCTTTCTTCTTCTTTGTCTCCTTTCCGTGAAAGCATTTGCGACCACGTGCGCACGCGGTAGGAAATTCAGAATTAACCGTTATCGAGTTATAATTGAACGCTGCCTCACGCTATTGTCATCCGGATACGATCTTGCGATTATGAATAATTGCAAAGTAAAATCAAATGATGCATGCAGTTGAATTTTAAAAAATTAGCAAAAATAATAATTGCTTTTTTATCATTCCTATTTTGGCAAAGAAATACGATAAGATTTTAGCACACATAATAGCGTGTTAATTTAACATGTGTTTTGGATATCGTTAACTGAAGAGCCAGATAAGATTTCGACTCCTCGAGTGCCTGTTCTAACGATACTTGTATGTTTGCTCGAAAGATCGTGCTGTGCTACTGTACGCCGTCCTAAACTAACAAATTATCGTCTTGACAAGCGGGCCCCATGCTGGGCCAGTTGCACGCGCTCACCCCATTGTCGAAAGTCAAATGCACCGGGCAGTTGAACACGTGGAGAGTGAACTTCTTCTTCCACTCGTCCCAATGACAAGCGTAGAACTTGTTACAGAAGTTAGGATGTCTGAACAAACCTGGCCTGGCGCAGTTAGTCACTCCGTCGATTACCTCTTCTGACTCGCCGAACGCTGGCTGTTCCACAGAAGAATTTTTGTTTGCAACAGCGTTGAACGAGTTGGTGTTACTGACGCTGTTCAGGCTCTTCCCGGCTCTGAAATTGGCAGCGAATCCGCGGTTGGAAAATCCTGAAACGCTGGCGCGGGCTCCCAGACCTGCGGACGGAGTCACGCTTGGCAGATAAGTGGAAGAAGGTTTCTCTTGAATTTCAGAACTGGGAATCTTGGGTATCTGATTGTTCCAGATTTTAACAGGTCCTTGATACTCGCGGCTAGAATAATCGCCTTCCTCGTAGGAATTCTCTTTCTCAAGATCTACGTAGATGTCCGACTCGTCGTAATTAGCCAAATCCACTTTGCCCTTTGAGGAATTGATCAATTTCGAGCCTGGTCCTCTGAGGTTTGCGAACGGATCTCCTCGACAGGTACATTCGGCTCCGAGTTTCCCCAGCAAGATGGGATGCAAATCGCTCCACTTGACAATTACTTTACCCTTACCCACCGCTGTTGACTTTGCGGTGGTTTGATACGTGATCACCGGCGATGGCTTCGAGTAAACTCCTGAGTACGTCGTTACAGCCAGCGGTGATTGGGTCGAGCCGTAACCCTGTCGCGTCTTCGAGTAATCGAAACCGGAAATTGTTGAACTATAACCCTGCTGCGTTCTGGAGTAATCGCCGCCGGAAATCGATCCTTGGTAGACGTCGTACTCGCTTGGAATGTATTTTGTCGTGCCTCGGTTGTAGCCTCCAATGAATTTTCCGTCCTCGCCGCGCGAACTTGTGGTGAAGCCGCTTATGGTACCTGAGTCTACAGCGTAACCGGATGGCCCGGTGGTATACGTTTTCTACAAAATTAAAATAATTTTTTAAAGATAATTATTTAGAAATAGTCGATGAATTATTGATTTCATATCAAAAAATTTACCTGTGGTCTCAGAGATTCTGATATACCAGAAGGCGTTACGTTCTCCCCGAATATACTCTTGGACGTCGAGCTGAAGTAACCAGAGCCAGATGGGCCAACAGTAGGTCTATACTCGTACTGTGCATAAAGAATTTTTCCCATGTTAAAAAATATACAAACCATAAAAAGATGAGTGCCTATTAAAAAATTTACATGACGAATAAATATCGTACCTGTGGAGTCGGCGTTGCTGCCGGTATCGGCACCGGAGTTGTGCTGCTGTAACCCCGATCCCTGGAGACTTGCACATTTCCAAATCCAAATTGAGTCCCGGTTTGAACGCTTCCGCCGTAATGTGTCACTGGAATTGGCGTTGAAGTCTTGTAACCAGTGTCTATCGGTTGAACCGTGGAAATAGGGATCTTCGCCGCTTCGAAGAAGGTCGTCTTGTAATCGTCCAAAGTTGTGCCACCAGACGTATAGAAAGGTGCACGCGTAAAGCCAGTGGGCTTGCTCACGAACGTGGGCACTCGCGGTGTATTGTACAATTCAACATTCAAGAACGGTGTTGGAGTAGTGGAACCGAAAATACTGCTCTCAGTCGAAGAAACTCTGGTTCCCGTTTGGAAAGGAATACTCGGAGTGGGATACGAATATCCAGGACCCTTGGAAAGGCCCAGATCAATTTTAGAAGTATCCACGCGATTTATGTCCTGATTATAAGTCGACGTGACGCTGCTTTCGGTAGAGGATTTCGTGTATCCTGCCACGCTCCCTTCAAACGCGTTTGCACCGATTATGTCAGGTTTGGGAGTCGGCCGCGATCTTCCTGTACCGATGACGTAGCTGCCTCCTGCGGCCAGAGTGCCACTGGTGACTCCTGATTGAGTTAGTCCAGTCTTGGAGAATCCAGTCGGCGTCGATGGTCCCGGAACTCCTTTGCTTCCAGGGATAAGCGTGTCTGGAGGAATCGTACCACCTGCTGGTCTGTAATCCGGAAGATCGTTTTCCGTGTATTTCGTCGTCACGTCACCATTGTTGAACTTGATGGTACCGCGTCCTCCATTATCATGATATTCGTTCGTCTTGTAACCACTATTGTAAGTAGCGGTGGTAGTTCTGATTCCAAACGGAGATCCGGAAATAAAATCTTGTTGCGTGTATCCCGTTCCTGGATATACGTGTCCCGTGGAGCCAATAATTGTTCCTTGCTGGACGGTTCCACCAAGGGAAACGCCGGGGGCTGTTTGGCCTGTTAGAACGATGCCAGGACTTGGCTGTCCTTTGATTATTGTTCCCGAGCCAGGTGAACCTGTGACTGCAATACCAGGCGAAGGTGTTCCGTACAAAACGGTTCCAGGACTGGCTGAACCATATACAGTCTTTACTCCTTGGCTGACGACGTAGCCAGGGGAACCAGGACCAGTTTGGGTGTATCCTGGACGGCTGTCACCGGTTAATATTGATCCTTGGTCTGTAGAGCCTCCGAAGACTGTGCCAGGACTCTGTCCATAAGTTATTAAAGTTCCTGGGGTGGAATCCCCTGTAATAATTGATCCGTGAACATTCTGCCCAGTGATTATGGTACCAGCTCCTGGGTATCCACTCGGTGTAACGCCTCCGTGATATGAAGTTCCAATGGAAGGAATGTAACTTCCGCCGAAGCTGATGTTTCGGCTTCCCGTGTATCCACCTTGGTAGATATTCGTTCCGGAGGTAACGCCACTTGAGACGTAGCCGTCAGTGTTGTAAGTTGGCCCGCTTGATGGCTGGGGATAGCAAGAAGTGATGCAAATTGGTTGTTCAGGCTTCTCGAGCAAAACTGGTCCAGCTGGAATAAACGAAAATGATTAAAATATTGAAATATTTTAATTGAATACAAATAAGAAAGTAAAATATTTTATAAAATAGACTTACGAGTCTGTGAGTGTACACCGGACACGTCGAGACCAGTTCCAATCGGTCCACTGGAGGCGTAGATAGGCGTTTGCGTTGGTCCACCGAAACCAATTCCAGAACTAGATCCTGTATACTTTGTTCCTGTTTCTCCACTGTATCCATGGCCAGTCGCGCCTGTTCCAGTTCCCGAATAATCGACTCCCGGTACAGATCCGTAAGAAGGTACTGTGTATCCTCCTGATCCTGAGTAACCACCACCTCCTGCGTGACCAGAGCTTGTTGTCCCGGAATATCCACCGCCAATGGATCCTGAATATCCTCCACTGGAACCACCATGAATAGTGCTCGTCGTTCCTGAATATCCTCCGCCAATGGATCCCGAATATCCTCCAGTGGATCCACCGTGAACAGTACTCGTCGTTCCTGAGTATCCTCCGCCAATGGAACCGGAATATCCTCCTTGAGTTGATCCAGAGTATCCACCACCGACAGAACTCGAATATCCCGGTGCAAAACTATAACCGGTTCCACCTGGTTTCGAGTATCCAGTACCAACAGACGATCCTGCGTGAATTGTACCGGTTGAATATCCTATGCCCGAGCCTGTATATACATTACTCGTTGATCCTCCGGAATATCCTTGTCCAGTTCCTGTTTCGACTTTTCCTGATCC